GATATGAAGAACAAGAGTTCAAGTCCATTCCCAACTACATTGCAAACTCTTGGCCAGTCTGGGCTAGTCCAGTCCCAACTGCATTGTAAATTCTTGGCCAGTCTGGGCTAGTATAGCCCAAATTGCATTGTAAACTCTTGGGCAGGTCCAGTCCCAACTACATTGTAAACTCTGGGTCAGCCTGGACTAGTCCAACACAAACTACAATGTAAGCTCTGGGCCAGCCTGGACTACATCCTGAAACCTTTTCTCAAAAAAAAACAAGTTTCTTCCCTACTCACTTAACAAGTAGTCACTTCCAGGCTAAGTGTAGGGTATGCCCCCATAATCCCAGCACTTAGGAACCAAATACAGCTAGATCTCTATGAGTTCAAGTTATAGGACACAGCCAAAATTATACAGTGAAATCCTATCTCAAAAAAAAAAGAAAGATAAATCACTTATTGTACGTGGACACAATAGCCACCCCTCACTTCTTTATAACTTACTTCACTCAAAACATCTATTACTCAGTAAGAAGAAAACTTTACCTAAGCTATCAAGATTTTCTACTTTTTAAGTTTTGAAACCATTTTTAATTTAAAAAATATTAAAATTATGCTTGGGAAAGTTAGGGGTACAGGGTCTTGCTATGTATCCCAGACTTCCTTCCCATCTCTTAATCCTTCTGTTTCAGCTTTCTGAATGCTAGGATTACAGTTGTACATCACCACACCCAGCCCAAAGTAGTTTTAAACTAATAAGAAATTCATCCCTTATTTGACATAGTTATTGTTATGGATATACTTTGTAGTTCCTTAGCTTATTTACACTCTGAAAAGCCTATATATTGTACAAACTGAAAAAATAAAAATAAAGAGCCAGACATGTTGCTCACATTACTTATTCCAGCACATGGGATGAAGAGGGAGGCATCTTTGTGAGTTCAAGGCCAGCCTATGACCTCTGCAAACAATCAACACTATAGAGTGAGACCCTGGGAAGGAGGGAGGGAGAGGGAGGGAGAGAGAGCAGGAGAGGCAGGAATGTTAAGAAAGAAGGGGAGGGAGGAAACAGTAAATGTGAAGGAAAAGATACAATTCTACTTCTACAGAAGTCATCCTCTGTCCTGAAGACAGACAAACTGGTGGACTGGGAAACAGGACATGCTTCTTCCTTTAAATGCAAAAGCTATTAAATGTAGCTCCATCGTGATGCAGGCCTGCCTTCTGGTCCTGTATTGTTCGTGATCATTCCATATAATGAAAGTAAATGATCTGTGGGACAGACCTCAGCTATTCAGGGGACTTGTCACTCTCCATGACTCAGTTCTGGGGCTATAACCTTCCTACGGTCTAGGAAATCACTTATTTGTATCAAAAGTAACAATTAATATAAAAGTGACTCGAAGGTATGGTGTTAAAAGAGGATATATGCTCTCATTTTTAATTTGATAATATATAGGATACAGCAGAATATGTTAGACTGAACAATTCATTTCCAAACTAATCATTTTAAATAATTCTACCTACAGTAAAGAATCAGTTTAAGTTGATTTAAAAAAGTAAGAGGGCCTCAGGTTCTGTAATCCTAGAACTCAGGAAGTTGAGACAGAAGGAGCAGAATTTGAGGCCTTCATGTGCTATAGAGTAAATTCAATTAGTTGTTACTAGATGGTTACAGATTGGAGAGAAATGAGGAGCTACTATCTGATGGGTACAGGTTTTAGCTGAGAAAATGAAATGACTCCAGATGGTTGAGGATGTAACTCAGTAAAAGAACACTTGCCTAGCACGAGTGGGGCCCTGCTTTCAATACCCAGTACTCCACAACACACACGCACACATGCACACACACACACACACACACACATGCACACACGCACGCACAAACATGAGTGTACCCACTGCCCTCCCACACACACACACTGAGTCTGGAGATGCATTAGTGGCAACAATTGTACAATGTGGCTCTATTCGTAATGCCAGTGAACTGCATATTTAAAATGGTAATTAGGGTAACTAGGTAATTAGGGTGATTTTATGTATGTTTTTACAGTAAAAACCTTTAACGCCATTAGTCTTAAGAAAAAAACTACACGAAATAAGAATGTATTACTTGTTGTAAATGCTTGCTCATCTAAGCCAATAGTAAAAATCCTAAACCAAAGACATTAAAATAAGCATTCAGTTAGACTGACTCATTAACATAACAAAACCACTCTATTACTATAGGTGGCCCTAAACTATGCCAGGAGACTATGCTTATTAAAAGAATCCTACAAACGTGTGTATATTACATAAACAAATATATATATACATATATACATACATACATGTAATACAGAGCATATAAGCACACACAGGCATCTGCATACATGCACTTATGGCCAAGCCAACAATTCATTCATATCCCTATATTGTTATCAGTCAAATAGTAAAATTGACTGTGGTAGAGCCTATTCATAATTCAGAACTGAGAAAACACTTTACTGTAGAATCAAATAGATTTGCACAGTACCTAAAGATACAGAAATTGCTGTGGGTTTGGGGCATCTACTTTTCTTGCCCTACCTGTCCCATTCCCAACCCACACACTACCTCTTATCTCAGAAAACAGATTTCTGTGTGCTTACCACCAGTCCTAGTACGAGGGTGCGAACTCTCTCTCCAATCTCTGGTGAAATGTCATTGCCAAACTGCTGCAGGGTAGTAAGAAATCGTTTCAGCTTGCTGAGTTGCCTAGCACCACAGGCTGGAGGCAGCTGTTGATTAGCCAGAGAAGAGGAAGAGGAAGAGGAAGGCCCGTTGCTAAAGCCATTAGGTGGTGAGGGGGCGCCATTCAAGGCCGTAGGTGAATGGCTCGTGCCATTGGTTACTGTCAAGGGCACAAAACCAAAAGGAAAAAGTAAATAAATGTACAAAGAGAGTGAATAAGGGAATTGCCACTAAGTGTTCCTGCCCTGAAATCTAGTGGTTTTGTAATTTTAAAACTATCGGGACATTTGGCAAACTGCTTGGACATCACAGCATCGCCGCACTCAGGCACTCTGTGAGCTCAGAGTCTCCTCCTCACAGTGAGGGGCAGCGGGATGCACAGAAGCTGATAATAAATTGAGCCTGCTGCTGCACAGAGCCAGCCCTGCCTCCCATGTGCACATATGCCAACCACCTGAAATGCTTCAAACACAGCACAAACAGCTTTGGATGTCAGCCTTTGTCACAGGCTCACATCAACATAACAGGACGGTTTCTCCCTAAACTGCTCCCCTAGAGAAAGTGTACATTTGGTGGGGACTAAATTTATCACTGAGCATTTTTAATCATGTTTTGTACACACAACTGACAGCTGTGTTTATAGGAAGAGGACTTTCAAGTTTTAACCTTATACCACCCAATTAGAAGAGTATTTTCTTTCCCTCTTATTTCTTAGCCATTTATTTAGGGGGAAATGTAAGTTTTACATAGGAAGATAGGAAGAAACAATGAGTTGGGATTTACTAAGGAGTTATTTTAAGAAAGTGAGAGGGGACAACTCAGTTTAACCCAGAGCATGGATTAGTAATAATTCACTAAATTCCTTTTGGAAAAAATGTGTTGAACATCAAGATGATTGTCTCCAATAATTAACATAGATGTGGAGGTGTTCGGTGTCACATGCCTGGCATCCCATCACTTGGGAGTCATACACAAGAGGGTAAGGAGTTCAATGTCATCTTGATTACATATATGTAGCAAGTCTGAGGCCAACATGGGTCACACGGTAAGACCCTGCCTCAAAAGCAAAAGCAAAACAGAAAATTAAATGTTCTTTAATCTCAAAGAGGAACAAAGTAACCTATCAATGCCAGCTCACTGGGCCTTGTCAGAAGAAGACATGTGCCTGTCACCATGACTTTGGATAACAAACAATTTGATGACAGGTTACAACTTGGCATGTCACAGTCTTCTGCCTCATACACATTTGGAAAGATCTTTTGAAAGGCAGGGCAGCCTGCATGAATGCTTAGGATATGTATCTTTAGAGACTCACGGATCCACTTTTGCCTCCTAGATATTTTTCATTCATATGGTTTCATGACACATGGTCCATTAATAGTATCATATATAACAGATAAAGATTTCTTAGCTTCACAAACATTTCGTGACCATTTTAACCAGAACCATGAGACTGATTAAAACCATCCTACAGAGTGCCTCTTCTAGAATTCGAAAGTTAGTTGGTGGTCACAATTTTCTATCTTTTTCTGGGATGCTACAGGAGGAAGGATACCCCAACGACTGGACTCAGAAATCAGGACCTGAACTAATTGCAAATGGAGTAACATTTGATAAAATCCTGGTAGGTTCGTGACAAAACCATGCTGTTGAATTCAGAAAAGTTTCTTTAACTGTGCATCAAGCAATGGCATTTTAACTTCAGAATGGGAGCTTTAAAAAAAGAATTTGTAACTATTTGACATAGAAAAAAAGCAAGGTAGAAGTAACTAGAAATAATTATAGCACATTTTTATGTTCTAAGTGAAAGTGAACAACCAAAATAAAGAGCTCTACATTAACATGAATTAAAAGTCATAGGCATAACTATAGCAAGAGAACAAATGTAATATTATTCATTTGCCCAAATCACATCAGATTATAATGTTGAAGTAATAATATAAAGGCAGGCAAATATTCACAGTAATACCAATTATACCTAAAACATGACACTTTTGTTTGGGTTCAATAACCATTACCTACTGGCAAACTTTCAAGGTTTTTGCACTTGGTTCTGTATAACGCACTGACACTGGATTTTACTTTTCCTTGATTGTTTTCTATGTGCAGAACAATTGCAATTTAACCTTCAAAACTGAAAACGTCAATTCATAACTGAGTACTTACATGTTGTTGGCGTAAATGAGCTGGTTCTTGGAGCTCCTTGAGTAGTTGGGGGAGGTGGCATCGCTGGAGGAGTCAGCCTAGATTGTGTCTTCACATCCACAGGTGAGTCTGGCATTGTGGAGTGCTTCTCAGTACGATCTGGGAATGCCACCAGGAACGTGTTATTTCACGCTTTAAACACCCCAGTTCCACAACTAGGGTCTGTCTTTTTTTAGAGGCACACAAACACAAGAAATTCAGTGTCTTCTATCACTAAAATACACTTGTCTATGGAAGTTTAAGGCAGACTATTTTTCAATCAAGCCCCACTTGAGAAGGTGTAGCACAGATGGCGGGACCTCATTTATTACCAGGCTATATAATACCATATTGTTATTTCTGGCTTGGCAGATGCTGTCTTACTAGTGTTATATGCACCAGCACAACTTCACTCAAAGTTGAAGCCAACATTAGCAAGGAGAAGAAAACAGATGAGGAACACAGACAATAATGAACCCCTCCTGACAGCTCAGAAGCTACAGAAACAGAGTTAGGTCCTAGCAGAAGCAGGCACTTCACAGTGCATCCCTGAGACATCCCCACCCCTACCTTCCTTAGTTTCTGGTCCATTAAATGAAACAAGTTATGGTCCCAAGATCTTCCATTTTATCTGCCCTACATTAACATTGTTCTGTCTACAGTAAAGTTGAGCTATTCTTTATATAGAATGTGTGAATTTATGGCCTGTCCCATTCCAAACATGAGACCAACACTCCAATTGATAATCTTAGAATGTAAAAGTACCAAAGTAAAAACTGATAAAAGCTAAAGAAGGACCATGGACAAACCCCTAATTATCCAATGATGACCATTTATATAAGCCCAAATTGGTTTTTCCTAAGTGTATTTCCCCTTTCTTTCATATATACTTGATGCAATGAGACAGGGTTTCATTCTGTAGTCTAGGTCAAGCAGGAAATTCACTATGTAGGCCACCATCAAACATGCATCAATACTCTTGCCTCCTCCTCAGTCTCCTAGTGATGGATGACAATGTGAACATGGGACTTCTAAGTATATTTCTCGCTTGACATTTCCATCTATTTCTGAGTCTAATATAATTCTCAAGGCAATAAATTTCTCATTAAAAATGAAATACTTTCTTGTTTTGTGTCTTTAGATCCAATTTTATACAGTCACGTGACAGATACTCCAAAAACATTTTTGAGGTATTTCTACATTTTAGACACAAAATTTTTCCCTTGTAGGTTTTTAAATATGTAAAATTAAACACTATTCAGAGCATGGTTTTTGAACTATTATTAAAATTATAAGAAGCAATTCTCAAGTTGACGTGAAAGTTAAATATTCAGAGAGCTAGAAAATGGCTCAGTGGTTAAAAGAGCTTACTGGGTTCAGCTCCCAGAACCTATATGGTGCTCACAATCACCTGTAAGCCCAGTTCCAAGGGATTCAATGCCCTTTTCTGACATCAGAGGGCTTATGCACACACAGGGTCCACACACACACACACACACACACGGCACACACACACACACACACATATATATATATATATATATATATATATATATATCAGACACACAATACAGACATATAAAATTAAAATAAATAAATACTTCTTAAAGTCAAATAAACCCCCAAATTACTACTATTAAAATCCCAAACCTAGTTCATGTTTCTTCAAAGCAACTCCTTATGGCAGATTTCATGGCACATGCTTGTAATCCCTGCACTTGGGAGGTGAAGGCAAGAGGATCAGAAGTTCACGGACAGTTTGAAATACCTAATGTAGCTCAAACAAAAGCTATTTCCTACCCAGGTATAGTGAGTGGCACACACCAGGAATCTCAGCACTTGAGAGGCAGAGGCAGGAGGATTGCTTTAAATCTAGTCAGCTTGGTCTATACAAAGAAGTCTAAACTTCTGGGGGTTACTTAGTAAGACCTGCTCTCAAAAAAAAAAAAAAGAATTTTCAGAAGATGTGGGGGTTCAATATAAGAGAGCATTTGAAAAGCTGAACTAATGCTGATACCATATTAGGGATGATGTAATAAAAGAAAATCAACATCAGCATAATAAGTACATCTAACCTCATGACCAAGTCAGCATGTCAGGCTGTTCCTTCCTGTCTTCCTCTCTCCCACAGGCTTAATAACCCTGAATAACCCTAGGTCAAGAGAAGTGTCCTGAGGGAAATGATGGCAGTGACACAAGCACAAGTCGCTTAATTTTTGACCTTACTGTGGCAAAGAGTGACTTCATATGCTACCCCAGAGCACTTAGCAACCAGCATCACAATCACTCATTTTAGTAAAATAAATAAATTAGGCAGGCTTCAAACTGTTCCTTCAATAAATCCACCTCACATTCTACTCTCCTCAACCAACCTCAGCAAGAAGAGAATAAATAGCTCTCCCCTTATTCTGCAGCTCAGGAAAGAGGTATAGCAGCGAATACAGTCTCCCTAAATAAAGGCAAATACTTGTGTCATGCCAAGAAAGGAGGGAGGGAGGGAGGCTTGCCAGAGTCTGCGGGGAGATAACAGTGGGAACTGCTGGTCCATCTGGCTTTCATTCTGCTAACACTCACAGGGAACCAAGAGGGAAGGCAGGCCAGATACACAGACTTGGAGCACATGGTCTTACAGACAGAGAAAGGAAGAGCAGAAGGGGAGGGGAAGTAGGAGGCATGAGAAAAAGAAAGAAAGAAAGAAAGAAAGAAAGAAAGAAAGAAAGAAAGAAAGAAAGAAAGAAAGAAAGAAGGGAAGGAAGGGAGGGAGAGAGGAAGGGAGGGAGGGAGGGAGGAAGGAAGGAAGGAAGGAAGGAAGGAAGGAAGGAAGGAAGGAAGGAAGAAAGAAAGAAAGGAAAGAAAACAGAGGAAGGAAAAAGAAGAAACAGGGAAAAAGACAAAAACAAAGAGAAAAGCCCCAAACAGGTAGATGTCCTCAGAAGCTTTTCTCACCCATAACTAATGCAGGCCCCCTCAGCCCAGTCCACAGTCACCCACCTCAGATGACAACGCCTAGCTAAGAGGGCTCACATCAGTACCCTGTCCTTTTAACACCAAGAGAAAAGGAGATGAGCTATAAGGCACATAATGAGCTTCCTGACAAACTTAAGATTTTGGTTTCTGTCCAAGATAATCTTTGCATTTCGATCTCTGTCCATTTCTAGGAAGATGATGGGATATGCTTTCAACAGCAGCCTTGAGCCACTCACATGACATAATGCCTATCCAGAACATCACTGTCCACAGAGCTGGGAGGGCTGCTCTGAAAAAAATAACATCAATATTTTTGGAACAAGAACTACCAACCAGCACATGGAAGGACACCACTAGTTCAAAGAGGAATATTCTGACCAGATATATGTGGACATGTATATATTTAGGATTTTGACATTAGCCAAATTTCTGTGACAGTTGGCTTCTCTGATCAAATAGTTTCAACCCAGAGGCCCTACAAACTACAGCAAAGTGGGACCATATGGAAGTCATTCTGTTCTGCTCCGACAATCCACCCAGGGTAGGGATGGATGAAGAAACCACCGGCCAGGCCTAACCCATGCATCCAGAAACATTCTGGAACACAGAGATTTAAGATAAATTTAGACAATATGTTTCAAGTATGCAAGCTCTGCTGCATTTGTTTGGGATTATTTTTTCCAATGTTTTTGAAATATATATTCTTGAAACTCTTATAGAAAACAGAACAAAAGCAATGACTTAACCAGAGAAACATCTCACCCATTTCAAATTACAGGATATGGTTAAACCAACATGAGGTTACACTGTATGGTGTGTAACTTTTTCAGTTAATGAAGATTGTATTTTCCTGGTATATCCTTTCTGGTTTTTAGTTGCTGGAGGACAATTTGTGATACTTATTGTAAGAGTGACACAAAATGACATAAGGAGAGGAAGATAAGAGAAAAAAGGGAGGGGGAGTGGGAATTGAAAGAAAAGACTGGAAGAGAAAACTGCTCAGGTCTGGAAAACAGGTGAAATAAAGGTGGGCTTTGTCTCTCCTACAATGACTGGCACAACTTCTAGACAGGACAGTCTTCCCTGTGCAGTAACATGCTTCCTGCTTGGCAAATACCCAGCTCATATGTACCAAAGATGGTGGAGCAAGGAAAAAATTACAGCATATAAAAATGTATTACTGATACCATTTCAATATTGGATCCACTGCCAGGGCCCTCTAGAGGTGATGCTTTCCATTCCCTCTTCCTTCCTTCCTTCCTTCCTTCCTTCCTTCCTTCCTTCCTTCCTTCCTTCCTTCCTTCCTTTCTTTCTGTTTTAATTATAAAAAGGTATAATGTAATCTGGCTTGGCATTTGCCTCACTTAAAATTAGCCCAAATAGTTCCAAGTGTGTTTTAAAGCTATGAAAGATGGGTATTCTACACCAGCCTTATTTATTTGCCTTGCTGGAGAGGATCAATGTGAAATTGTTTGTTTCACCCATTAAGAGCAAGCGTTCCCCTAAGTTAATTATCTGAGCCTTAATTCTGCACAATAAAAATGGGAATACTACTCTATGTTCCTCTTGGAAATGAGACAGGAAATTAAATGAGATTAAAAACACTAGCATGTCCCTACTCATCCTGGACACTAATATCCTCCTGAACTTTCCTAAGCAGTGTCTCTTGCAAGTCCATCAAATCTGAGATCTGTCAATATTGGAGACAGCTATTGTTACTCCTGGGTTTTGTGGAGAATTTTTGTTTGTCTGGAATCTTTCTTTGTTGTTTCATATTTAATAAAAATGTATGGGCTGGGTGTGGTGGTACACACCTTTAATTTTAGAACTTCAGAGGCAGAGGCAGGTGGATCTCTGTGAGTGGGGGTAGCCTGGTCTACGTATCGAGTTTCAGGCAGCAAGAGCTATATGAAGACCCTGTCTTAAAAAAAATAAATACACATAACTCGGTTTATAGGAAGAATCATCACATTCTCTTTCTAAATCCTTTCCCTGTGTTGGAGTCAGTTCAAAGAAAATCAGCCTTAGTGTCATACCCACCATCAATAGCACATAGGGACAGAGTAAAACCAGGGGACAGACAGATGCTCTGGGATTTCTATTGAGACTATATTTCAATACCTCATAGTAAATTGAAAATAACAAGTCACAAA